CATTAGTGTCACAAGGTGACTTTCAGCTTGTATTAAGCCTCCCTCATTTCCTGATACAGCATTTGGTCTACTATTACTAAATTTGATATTCGGCTTCCCTCATGTACTTACTGAGGGCTACTATGGATTAGTTAAAGAACAAACAGATCTTTATTGGAGGAAGTGCAACCACAGTGCTCCTTAAGACGGAGGATGGTGAAGTGTCCCACCACATATTTTGGGCATCTTAGTAGGAGGAATCAGCCCTGGAAAAAGCTATCATGCTGGGAAAGGTAGAGAGTCAGAGGAAGAAAGAATGACCCAACAACAAGATGGGTGGACGCAGTGACTGTCATGATGGGCACGAGGGTAACAGAGATGGTGAGGATGGCAGGGGATAAGGCCAAGTGCAGATCTGTTCTTCACAGGCGCTGTGAATCATAGTTAATAGACCTAATGGGGGCAGGTGTGCCAGAGACCGTGCAATTGGCTCAAGATAGGGCAGGGCCAAAACAACCGTGAGATATCATCTCACCCCAGTAAGAAGAGCAAAATTTAGCAGAACAGCAAACAACGAACGCTGGTGAGGTTGTGGAGAAACTGGAACCCTTATTCACTGTTGGTGGGAGTGTAAAATGGTGCAACTACTGTGGAAGGCAGTATGGCGCTTTCTCAAAAAGTTGCAAATAGATACCATTTGACCCAGCAATTCCATTACTGGGAATATACCACAAAGAGACCATAACTGCCATCCAAGCAGATATACGCACACCCATATTTATTGTGGCTTTGTTTGCAATAGCAAAGAGTTTGAAACAACCCAAGTGCCCATCAATAAACAAATGGATAGAGAAGCTGTGGTATATTCACACAATGGAATACTATGCTGCAGTGAAAAACAAAGAACTCATGAAATATTATTCAAAATGGATGACCCTGGAAGACACTATGCTGAGTGAAATATCTTAGTTACAAAGGAACAAGTACTGCATAGTGCCACTGTTGTAAAATGGGACAGACATCAGGGTTAGAGGGAGACTGAGAAAGATGGGATAAATTACATATACTGCATTGAAATACATGAGGGAGAGAACTGTTTAAAAGGGATAGATGATTAGGTACTATTGTCATGACCGGAGTCCAGAATGAAGACTGCATAGTGGAGTGGACTTGGTGGGGGAGGGATTGTATAATAATGAAAGAATTTTTTATTTTTTTTTTTTTACTTTTTAAAGAGAAGAGCAAACTAGGGGGAAGGTTGGGCAGGGGGGAAAGTGCAATAATGAATGAATGGAATTAAAAAAAAAGATAGGGCAGGGTTCTGAGCTATTGGTCATAGGCTCATAGAGCTAGGTGTCCTAGTTGACAAAACAGCACGTAGCAACAACAATAACAAACAACAGTGCAGCCATAATAGTGATATCATCAGTGGATGCTTTTTTAAAAAATTTTTTAAAATTATTATTATTTGTGTGTGTTCCGTCAAATCAGATCTGACTGGTACAGGAGGAGATTGTTCCTCCTTTTCCAGCAGAGCATCTGGTGGATTTGAACTGTGGACCTCAGGGATTGCAGTGCAGCTTCTTGCCCAGTGGATGCTTTTAACAAACAGAAATATATTCTCTTGCAAGCTAGAGGTCCATATTTGGTGTACTTACTGACTCCAGGAAGAACTTTCCTTGGAGACCTCCATATGTCTTGATCTTCCGTTGTGTTAAAGGGCTTTGCAGCACAGGGATGGGGCCCAGATAGACACACTTTACGCCAGGTGGTTCATTTTTGGTGGTACTGCGGTCCCCTCTTTCATGTGCTTTCTTCCCCTTTTATTTCTTATGAAATAAATATTGTTAGGCCAAAGACACATATTTGACATCTGACACACCAATGGCACAGATTTCAGTTTCACAGCATCCCCAATTTATCCCAGTACAGCAAACTGACAGAACGATGTTCTCTCCAAACACAATGTGGCCCTTGGACACAACTGATTTTTAAATACAAATGTCCACCCACCAGGTCCTGACTGCTTAAACAAGAGGCTTCCAAGCCACAGCTGATTGCATATAGGTATTCAATCTGTATGCTGAGCAAATCATCCAAGAAGCTGGATTCTATGACGAGTGTGCCATCAAGACTGAAGGGAGAATTATCAATAACCTGTGTTATGCAGATGACACAGCTTTGCTTGCTGAAAGTGAGGAGGACTTAAAGCATTTGTTATAGAAGGTCAAGGAATACAGCTTTCAGTATGGATTGCATCTCAATGTTAAGAAACAAAGATTCTTACCACAGGACCAACAGGCATAATGGATGAAGAGGAGATTGAAACTGTCAACAGTGTCATCTTGCTTGGATCCACAACTAACACCCTTGGCACCAGCAGTCAGGAAATAAGGAGACACATTGCACTGGGATAATCTGCAGTTAGGGACTTCTCCAAATTATTGAAGAGTAACAATGTCAGTTTGAGGACTAAGGTGCATCTGATTCAAGTCATAGTCATTCCAATTACTTGCTATGCATCTGAGAGCTGGACAATGAATAAGGATAACAGAAAAGAATTGACACCTTTGAGCTGTGGTGTTGGAGAAAAGTACTGAACATCTTATAAACTACTAAGAGAACAAATATGCCTTGGAAAGGGTGCAGCTGGAGTGCTCTTTAGAGGCAAGAATGATGAGACTTTGCCTCACATACTTTGGGTATGTGGCTAAGAGGTACAATTCCTTGGAGAAGGATATAATGCTGGGAAGAGTGGAGGGCTGGCGAAGAAGAGGAAGACCCTCAACCAGGTAGATTGACAGTCACTGCTGCAATGGGCTCTTGTGTGTCAGTAGATGACACAGGATGGAACAGGGCTCATATCTTTTGTTCATGGACTAGATGACACCTAACAACAACAACAATAGGCCAAAGACTAGGAAAATTCCTCTCACATTGGTTTCAGGGCTGTGTTGGTTAAGGGTATTGCATTCCACCCTTAATCCTTTTACAACTCTTTGGTTTATCAGACCATTACACAGCTTCCACACTCTATTGTTACATACATGTATTTTTTTTTAAATTTTTTTTTTAGGCGGACACCATCCAACCCATGACAAGGAGCTTTCCATGAACTCTTTCCTCAGCCCACAAAATTCCTCTGTGGGCCATTCTCAGGGCCGTCTCCCTTTCAATACTGTTCCTTCTTCTGAGCTCTGCACCTTGTAAAAGTTTCGATGATCATTATTCCTGCTGTCCTAACTCACCTTTTAAGATAAAAGGAGCCATCTGAATTCCATTCTACACCCTGGCCCTTTTGTTTGAACATCAACTTACATCCATACCTCAGAGCCAGAGTCATGCTCTCTTCATACAGAGAGTTGGCACAGTCCTAGGGAAGCTGAGAGTCAGACTGGGGACAGATGGGACGTAAGGAGGAGAGAGGGAGGTGATGACTGTGAGGATGACAAGTGCCACTGTAAATTTAACCCTGATCACACCCCAAACAAAACAGCCAGTCAACCCATTGCCCCCACGGCAGGTTCTAGTTGGTCCTTCCCTCTGGCTCCAATAAAGAGCAGTGTGATAACCCAAGGGGACCCACTTGCAGACCAGGCTTCGATATGACTTTATCTTTAAATTTTAGCAACGTGGGTCCGGTTTCTCTTGCTGGCTTGGGCTGAGAACGGAGACCTGTGAAGCTCTCTCAAATGGTCCTTGTTGAATTGTTGTCTGGTCTCCCCTGACTAAGTGGCCCACTCAGACCAGTCCTGTGTAATCTCCATGGTCTTTGACATGTTTGAGCCATTGTTGAAACTCCACACCTAAATATGATGGCTCCGGGACTCAGGAGGACCCTTTGCTTCTGGAGGTTCCCCACCCAACGAGGCCTGGAGGTCTGACTGGCGCACACCCAGAAAGCCTGCAGTTCTGTCTCCCTGGCATTCCCATCTTTAGTTCTTTGAATTTGCACACGTTGTGCCATTATTGTGTCTGGTCCTGCATTTCTTCCATGCTGGCCCCTGAGTCCAGACCGCGGGAGAGGAGGAAAGAGCTATGCGACGCCCATTCTTTGCGTTTATACTCCCTTCTCCCCTCCTGACCAGCGCAAGGAAGCAGGGCAGTTGTTCGGCCAGTTTGGGCTGGTTATAGTGTTCAAAGCAGCCCAGCGGCGCTTGTTTCTCCACAGAGGCTACAGGAGGCTGCTAGATAATGTGCAACGCGCAGATAACGTGGGGAGATTGGAGTTCCCTGGCCGTGCGCCCGCGGCGGGCGTTACCCAGCCCAGCCAGCGCCCGGCCGCGGAGCTGGGCCCTGAGACTCCACGCCGCCCTGGCCGCGAGCCCGGGCCCTCTTTGTCCTGGCATCAGGTGCAAGCCCGGGAGCGCGGGCCGCGCGCGCACGCGTTCGGAGCGCGCACTGCCCAGCCGGCCGCGCGCGCTGGCCTCCCGGGGTGTGTGTGGGGGACTCCACGACAGCCAGGGCTGCGGCGGGGGAGGGAGGGAGGGAGGCGGCGGGACACGTAGCCGCCCTCGCTGCAGGGCCGACTCCATGCGGGCAGGCCGGCGGGAGGGGAAGCCGGGAACCCGCAGCTCCAGCCCGCTGGCCTTCGAAAGATCCTCCTGGGCCAATGGCAGGCGGGGCGACGCGCCCGGATTGGTGCAGACGCTCTGCTGATCACTGTGGAAACCTAGGTGGCGGGGAACGCGGGAGGATGCGGAGCCCCGGGAGGGGGGACGCCTAAGCGCCACCGGAGTCCTACTGGAGGCAAAAGTCCAGTGGGGCGGGTCGTGGGAGGGGCGGAGGAGGGGACTGCTTGGGGGCACTGGGAAGCGAGGGATCTGGCCGGAGTGGGTGGGGGGGGGAGGTCTGGGAACCTTCAGAGGGCCGGCCAGGGGGGAGGGGGCGCGGTCGGGGGCGGAGTAGCAGCAGACAAAAGCCGAAAGCGAGCGGGGGCTGTATCCACAATCTGGGGCCCGTGGGTAATCAGCTGGTGTGAGGAGGCCGCGGCGCACAGGACATCCCACTCTGCTGGCACCATGGGGAAGGGGGGCAACCAAGGTGACGGGGGCCCCGAGCGCGAGGCCACCGTACCCACCTTCAGATGGGAGGAGATTCAGAAGCACAACCAGAGCAATGACATGTGGTTTGTCATTGAGCGTAAGGTCTACGATATCTCCACATGGTGCAAGCGCCACCCGGGAGGCAAGCGGGTCATCTCGCACTACGCCGGGGAAGATGCTACGGTAAGGAATTCCCCGCCACCGGCGGGAGCCGGGTACCCCGAGGTGCTTCCCAGGGCGCCAGGCAGAGCTCCGGCGCGGACTGGTGCCCGAGTGCCCTGGAGGGAAGGAAACAGTGGCTGTTGCCCGCGTTCCCCGCCGCGAATCCTCCCCGGGGGTTTCTGGGTCAACTTGGGGTGAGGAGTTCCGTTTTGGATCCCGGGAGGCAGTGCCTCGGTGTAGATCCGAACGATGGGGAGCCATGCTGGAGCTGGCGCGCACGCTGCGACCCACGTCCGCGCCTTCCGCCGGTGTCTTCGGGGCTGGGGACTTCCCAAAAGGGGCGCTCGGACCTTAGAGTTTGGACGCCCCCTGCCCCCCGCCCCCTAAGCGAAAGATGGCCGCTCCTGGGCCCCATGGGCCGGCCTGGAGCCTCGGGGGCGGCCGCCAGGTGTGGGAACTCGCGCCTGCACCCCCCGCCCTCCATGCGCTCCCGCCAGCCCAGCGGCGCAGAAGGGGGGCGCATCCCGCAGAAGGCGGGGCTCGCTGCTGGTAAAGCCTTGTCTCGGAAGGCCCACCATGGCTGCCTGGGGAAGAAAGTGCCGGAGAGCTCTTGTTCCCACGCGCCCAGGGACTTAAGGAACGAGCAAGAGCAGGGGTTTGGTTTGCCAAAGCCAGTCGGAGAGAGCGAAAGTGCTGGTGAATTTAGCTGCACAAGGCCGGCTTGGCAACAGGTCGCCGCCGCACATGAAGTTACTGGCAGGCAATCCCCTCTGTCTGCGTCTGTAAATCCCGCCGGAACGCCCTTTCCTCCGCGGGATGGGCCGCGGCGCCTCCCCGAGCCCGGCTGCCCATCTTTAACCGTGTGGCTCAGCCATGACGCAGGGCGGCCCCCGACTCCCAGCCTGAGAGTCGTGTATGGTGTTAGGGCTCGCATGGTTGTGGGCGTAAAGGACAGGGAAGCAAGGGGCTGGCGTGTCATCGATGCCATGGCCGGAGAAAACTTGGGCCAAAACGAACGGGCAGAAAGGCTAAAGGGAGGGCGACAAGTCCTAAACTAAGATCACTCCACCTAGAGAGAGCTTTAAGGTGCTGACCTCTTGGCTGTTGAGTCTGAAAGGCCCCTGTGGATGGGTGGGACTCTTCACTGCTCCCCCGTGGTGGACCCGTCTCGTCCAGGTCGGCCTAGTCAGGGAGGCCGGAGGAGGCCGCTCTGATGGCAGCTCTGTCTGGCTCCGTGCCTGGTGAGCAGGGCCCAGGCTTGTTTGAGCTGGGGAAGATGGTCAGTCAGATCTCCTACAGCGCCTCCCGCCTTCTCCTGCTGCCCGATTGTACTTGTCCCTCCAGTCATGGGGTTCAGTGGAGGGGGATCATTACTTCACCTCCCAGGTACTGTCCTTGAATAGCCTTCCCACGGAACTTATCTGGGGAACAGAGGAAACCCATCAACGAGATGGACTAACACAGGGGCCAATCAGTATCCTCATACAGGTGGCGGAGGGAGCACAGGATTGGGCAGTGTTTCTGTTGTGTGTAAGGTTTGACTAGACAGCTAATGGGTCTGTAAGGACATTAAGCAGAGACGGCCAGTTTCCATTGCTTTGATTCTGAGACATGGTGTTGAAGAGTTGCAGAATATGTCAGTGGCTTTTTTCCAAAGCAGATCCCCAAACCTTTGGAGGCACTATTGGGTGGGCTGGTACTTGTTACCAACAGCTGAGTGTGTTTGTTTACTGGTGGCCACCCAAGGAGGAAGCCGGATAAGGGTGGTGGTGTTTGGTGTTTTCAAGACAGCTCCCCAACTCATAAGTACCACGTGTACAACAGAGGACCTTTGCGGGGCCTGCACAGCTCTCACAGTCTCTGACTGCTGTGCCCAAGTCCATCCTCTCAGCCGCTGGCTACAGCCATCCATCTCAGGAAGTCTTCCTTGTTTTTCACTGACCGACCCTCTGCTTTCCTAAGCATGCTGTCTTGCTCCGGAGACTAGCCTCTCCTGATACCATGCCCAAAGTACGTGAGGTGAAATTCCCAGTAAAAAGCTCTCTTTAAGTCGTTGGAGGGGGGGACTTTCCACCCTTCCAAGGTGTTGGCCTTGTACTTACTGGCTTGTTTAGGATTTTCTAGGAACGTGATAGAAGCTTCCAGCCTCAGTTAAGTGATAGAACATCAGATTCTTTTCCTCCCCCAGTGTTGGCCTGAAGCTACCTTTGTTTCCTGTAAAGTCAGGGCCCTGCCCCATCCCTCCAGGCGCTCAGGGTACCTGTGTTTTCTGTGCTCTCTGAGATCTTACTGGCTGTAGATCTGGCGTCTTAGGTTCAAGGTACTCTGTTCCCAGAAGGGAAAGAGGCAGAATAGAACGCCTGGAACCCTGAAATTAAAGGCGCAAGATTGATCCCTGGGGCTCAGCCGTCACTCTAAAAAGACGCACTGCTATCAAAGCAATTCCAATCCTAGCAGCCCTACAGAACAGAGTGGAGCTTCCTGGAGCCTTTCAAGTCTGACACCCTCTTTCTGACGTGGACTAGTTGGTTAACTTGAACCTTTGGTTAACCACAGAGTACTTAACCACTGCACTACCAGGACTCCTCCTTTGCTGAACTACTTTCCTCCTCAGCCACAAACACTTGTATCTATACCAAGTACTTCTTTTCGGTCTTAAATTTTCTTTGTAAAATTTTTGTTTTATATCTATTTGCATACAAAATTTACCTGCATTGTGTTTCGCACTTTCCTTTATTCACATTGTTTCATCCATTCATTCCCATACATTGTGATTTTGGGAGTTGGGGTGTTTGTTTTTACTTTTTTAAAAATTGGTTTGCTTACAAAGTTCATATACATTGTGTTTCACACTATTCATTCACATTGTTTCAGCAAGCATTCTCATGCAATTAGTCACCATTGGACCTTGTCCATCATTATCTTGTCTTTTTTGTCCAGAGCCTTCCCAATTGCTTCTCCCCTTCATACAATTTGGGGTTTGGTGTGTGTGTACTGTCAGATCTATCTGGTACAGGAGATTATCCCTCCTTCCTCAGCAGAGCATCTGGTGGATTCGAACCACGCACCTCTGGGATTACAGTGCATCTTCTTGCCACTAGGCCACCAGAGCTCACCCATACATTTTGGTTTTTAAAATTAATCCCCATTGAATTATGCCACCATTAACTCATCTTTTCAGGTCCCCACCAGATCTTTTCCATGTTCTTACCCCCTCCTTCTGGCCATCAGATTGTGTGGCTGTGTGATTTTATAAAGCACTTCTCGAACTGTAAGTGCTCAATAGAGGCAAGGTAGTCTTTTCAGGTAAAGGATGAGGGTGCTCACTAGAAGGTTGGCAGTTTGTGTCTCCCCAGAGGTGCCACAGGTGAAAGGTCTGGAGATCCACTTCTGAAAGATCGGCCTTTGAGAATACTCTGGAGCTGCATTCTATTTGGACACACTAGGGACTTCTTTGAGTCAGAATCCACTTCACATCAATGAATTTAGTCTGTAAAGTAAGCCAAGAGGAATTTGGAATAAAAGGCTTGTCATCAATGACGAGGGATTATAGGAGAATTGATGCCTTTGAGCTGTGGTGCTGGAGAAGAGTGAATATCTCATGAACTGCTAGGAGAACAGATTCATCCCAGAGAGGGTGAAACCAGGCTCCTCAGAGGAAAGGATTCTGAAGCTCTATCTGACATACTTTGGGCATGTTGCGAGAAGGGCCCAGTCCTTGGAGAGGGACATCATGCTTGGAAGGGTGGAACGACAGCGCAGGAGAGGAAGACCCTCGATGAGATTGACTCAGTGACTGGGGTAGTGGGGGTAGTAGGTGTATCAGAGACAATAAGGTTGGCTCAGGATAGAGCAGGATTCAGAGCTATTGTAGTGACGGTTGCTATGAGTCGCGAGTCGATGGCACATAACAATGCCATCTTTAGTCTTAAGACTCTCACTCATTGTCCTTGAGTTGGAAGTGACTTCTAGCTGGCCCTCCACTGGGTTTCTGAGGCTGTAAATCACACCGAGGAGATTGTGCGGCTGGATTCAGGCTGCTGTTAGAATCCACCGGCCACTCTGAGGAAAGAAGGTGGACAATCTCCCTCTTAAGGACATAACAGCCTTGTTGTTAAGTGCCGTCAGAAGTCCTTGACATTTGCGTGACTTTCATCCTTGCTCCAGGTTCATAGGGTTTCCAGAGGAAAGCTACTTTAACAGCCTTGGAAACCCAAAAGTGAGACTGTTGTGGAACAGAATTGACTCTGGCAGTGGGATTCTTTTTGAGGAAGGGGGTAGAGTCTAAGTTTGGGAAGGGGACTTGGAGAGGAACAGTCTGGGACTAAGATCCGGAGACCTTTGTCTAGGTTTCCTGCTGAGCTTTCCCCCTGGGCTCTGAGCTGGGGGGCCTGACGGTGTTTGCGGGTCATGCGAAATTAGCAGATAAAAGAGTTCATGTCCATACGGATACACGCACACATCAGCACACTGTCATCAGCCGATCATGGTGTAGTAATATCCTGACCAGAGTGGGGTGGTGTTCTGGGCAGGGGCAGGGGTGTGATTCTGGGGACAGGAGGTTTTCCTGTCTCTAAAGAGAAGACAGAAGCTGAAACATGGCCCTTTTCTAGTCTGAAGGGAGTTGTTGGCTGACCCAAAGGCCACACCTCTCTGGTTCACATTCTCCAGCAGCTCCTAGGGAGGAAAAAATGGTCTCTCCCACGTGCTCTATAACTTCAGAAGCCTGCTGGAGGGTCAGCCTGGAGTCCCCACTCCAGGCAATGACTTTGACTTTTTTGTTATGGTGAGGTTGCTAAAATGTCACAACTCAAATCACAGAAATGAAGCCTATACCTGGGCCAGGAGGCAGTCCCCAGAACTGCATGGTTGAACATCAGGAAAGGAGTGCGTCAGTGTATGCCTCCAGTCTCCAGGACTTTTCAATCTGTATGCAGAACAGATCATCCAGGAAGCTGGGCTTGATGAGGAAGAGTGTGGCATCAGGATTGGAGGAAAACTCATCAACAGCCTACATTTTG